AGGAACAAGCTCAAGGGCACCAATCATCCAAGAGTAATAAGCTTCTCAACTTGTAACTTCCACGTATCATGTAGAGAACTCAAACCGATGCACCAAATGCAATGGCAAGGGCACACGGAGTGCCCAAGTCCTTCTCTCCCAAATCCCACCAAGGCAACTAATGCTAGGGAGGAAAATGAGAGAAAGAACGAAAGAAGAACACGAAGAACTCCAAGATCTAGATCCAAGGGGTTCCCCTCACTTAGAGGAGAAAGTGATTGGTGGAAACGTGGATCTAGATCTCCTCTCTCTTTTACCTCAAAAACTAGCAAGAATCCATGGAGGGATTGAGAGTTAGCAAGCTCGAAGAAGGTCAACAATGGGGGAAGAACACGAGCCCGAAGGATCAGTCTCAATGGGGAAGAAGACCCCCTTTTATAGGTGGGGAGAAAAACCAACCGTTATCCCCTCACTCAGCCTGCACGACGCGGTACTACCGCAGGGAGCTGCGGTACTACCGCGGTTGGTTGCGGTACTACCGCATGTGCAGCTCTGGCGAGATGAAGGCCTGTTGCACAGGGCAACGAGCGGTAGAACTGCCGGAGCGGTACTACCGCGCGCCCCTACGGTACTACCGTAAGGCAGGCAACACTAGGCGCAGAGAAAGCACGGACATAAAAAATTACTTCCGTACCTACTTCCGCTGAGGGAGGACCTGCGCAAAACTCCGGCATGGTACTACCGCACACGAAGAGCGGTACTACCGCGCAGGGCACGGATGTAAAAAATTACATCCGCCCATACTTCCGCTCATGCTGCTAAGCCTGGCCAGAGCCCACGGTACTACCGCGCTCGCGGCGCGGTACTACCGCGTAGGGCGCGGATGTAAAAAATTACATCCGCCCCTACTACCGCTCGAGCAGCTGCGCCTGGCCTGAGGCCACGGTACTACCGCTCCCACAGAGCGGTACTACCGCAAGGGCCTGCGGTACTACCGCTCCGGAGAGCAGTACTACCGCATGCCCCAAATCAGCAACACTAGGAGTCCTTCATTTTGCAGAGAAGACAACAGAGGGTAACAATAAAACCAGAACTGGCAGAACCTCCAACATCGAAAACATCATAGAAGATGCATGCAAACTCCGTTTTCGATGAACTCGAGCTTGTCATAAAAATGACCATAAGCTCCAAAACTCACAAGGAGAAGAACCAAACAAGAACCAATAAAGAAGATGCAAGGATGCAATGGTTTGAGCTCTCTACAAACGATACGATCAAGCAACTCATCGAGAGCCCCCCTTGATACTACGACAATCGATCATATAACCCGGTCTCCCACAACTACCATGAGACCGGTAAAATAGAAAACCTATCAAGGGCAAACCTTTGCCTTGCACAAAGTCCACTTGAGCTAGTTGATGACGATCTACTCCTCCTCAAGATGGATCACCTTTCTTGATTGCGTTGGCTCGATGAAGACTAGTTGATTGCTCCCCCATACTCAACTATGGGTGAGCCCCTCTTCCGCTCATCTTCACAAGTCCATTGTCACTACAATGGACGACAAGCTTCAAGCACTTGATCTCTTCGTGATGCATCACTTGAACTTGCACACCGCAACCTAACCCCACAAAGAACTCTCACGAAGACCATGGGTTAGCACACAAAGCTTAATGGACAATGCTTACCATACCATGGGATCACTTGATTCCTCTCGGTACATCTTCTATGTTTTGTGAGTTGATCAACTTGATTCACTCTTGACTTAGTCTTGATCAACCTTGAATCTTTGCAACTCTCTTCATTTGGATGATGTCTTGAAGGTAAACATGAATGATCACACAACCTTCTTCTTCAAGGCATGCTTGCAATAAGCTCAACATTCACATGACCAATCTTTGGATAATTCCTTAATAGCACCTTGGTCAACTCATAAACTCCTTGAAACCAACACATGAACTTCAAGAAAAGCCTATGGACAAATCCTTCAAATATAACTCAAGACAACCATTAGTCCATAGAGATTGTCATCAATTACCAAAACCAAACATGGGGGCACCGCATGTTCTTTCAACTATCATTCTTGAGGCCCTTGCCGATCAAGAAACATGCTTTTGCCATTCATATTTTGGGATCCCTGGATCTTGCAATGACATCAACGTGCTCGACCGGCCACCTCTTTTTGCCAAGTTAGCAAATGGAGAAGCACCACCGATGACCTTTGAAGCAAATGGCCGCACATACAACTATGTGTACTAGCTGATGGGATCTACCCGAGGTGGAGAACTTTTGTCAAGCCAACTGCAAAACCCCAAGGTAAGAAAGAACTCATCTTTCACAATGCACAAGCGGCAGCTAGGAAAGATATTGAGAGGGCTTTTGGAATTTTCCAATCCCAAATTGCTATTGTGCGAGGATCATCTAGATTCTGGGATCAAAAAACACTTTTGTATATCATGACCGCTTACGTGATCATGCATAACATGATCATTGAGAATAAGCGTAGACATGATTTAGATTACACCTATCATTTGATTGGAATATGCTTTATGCCGATGAGAAGGAAGGATCGAATCAAACGTTTCATGAAGGTGTACAATAAAATTAGAAACTCCGATGCGCACGATCAACTTCAGAAGGATTTGGTGAAGGAGTATTGAAAATGACATGGCGGAAGAGCCCCCTAGTTTCACTATTTATTTGTTGTATTGTGCAAAACTTTGTTGTATTTGTATTGCATTTGATTTTGCGGGTTTGATGAATTATGTAATAATTTAATATTGTGGACATGTGAAAATTTTAAGTTGTTTTTGAGATGTTTTATTTTAATTTGTGCGGCCGTACCGTGGCGCGCCCGTCGGCCGGTTTTACATCTCCATTTTGCATCATCTGTTGGTATTGCTATTTTACATCTTCAATATACATCATCTGTTAGAGTTGTTTATTTTTTGAAGATGTAAAAACATTTTTTGAAGATGTAAACTTTTACATCTCCTGTTTCACATCTCTAAATTTGCATCTTCTATTGAAGATGCTCTAAATATCTAGGCTTTGTAACAACCCACGCGGCGATTAATTTAGCTTTCCACAGTTGCGCTGTAGATTTGTCTCTCTCGGGTAACCAAATGGTTCCGGCTGGCAGTGGTGGTCTAAAAACATCACCTGCCTGTAGATATGTCATTTTTTTTCATTGTGCAGCTGTATGCCTGCGAACAAGCATGCAACATAACATAACCAAACATCAACCTGAAAGTGACGAGGATCGGGGAGAAGTTGCTGTAACGACCACAGCAAGAAAAAAAGAACACCATTGGTCTCTGAAGGAAAGCGGGCAGGTCGGCCATCCGTCCGCGAAAAGAAGGGGCCAACCGCTGCCCCTTGTTCCCATCCCATTCCCATCTGATCTCGCGCTTATCCTCTCCACTCCTCCCCCGACAGCGACAGCTTCCTTCCGACTGCTTGCCGATGCCGATGCCGACGCCGACGCCGATGCGCTCGCATCGTTTTCATCACTAGCACACCTGTGCATGAGCGATGGTGCCATCGGAAATACCGGCCGGATAATCCCTTTCCCTGCGTCCGGACAAGCCGCACCCCGACGTACGAGTAGGACGACAGCCAGGCAACAGCCAGGACGGGAGAACCGAGCCGAGCGTGGACGCGGACCGGGTCGCCGCGTGCGCTCTGACGCGCGCCGCCCGCCGCGCCCGCCGCTGTCCCATACGAGAAGATTACGCGAAAGAGAGAGACGTTGGTTGCCATGCCCCAGTCGGCGGTTTGTCCGCTGCGATCGATGCCGCTGTCGGCCAAAACCCGCCGGCCGCCGTGGCGTTGCGTCTCCCATCTAAACAACAACACCATGGAGAAGATTCACTAAAAGCAAGTACAATAGAACTGAGTCAGCGGGCTATAAGAAATAAACTAATATATTTATGCTTAGTTGGAGGAAAGAGAAGAGGAGAGAGAAGATAAGCGGGCTCTTCGTGAAGAGCTAGCTCTAGCACGTGCTCCTAGTCACTTTGTGAGAATGAAAGGTGGGCCACATAATAAAAAAGTAGTACACTCTTTTGATCTACTATTGTACATGTTGACTATAAGATGGGCTGTAGATGACATGGCACTGGCTTATAGCCAGCAGCTGGCTATACTATTAACCATGCTCTAACCTAACCAGCACGAACCGGAAGGCTATGCTCCAACCCAACCCAACCCAATCCGATCCGGCAGAGGATCTCTCTTGGCCATTTGGTATGCCAGAGTACTATAGTAGACTAGACATGGCATGGCCGAATAGGCAGGCGCGATCTTATCGCTAGCGCGCACGATGATCAACCAACCCGACTGCGCTGGGGCCTTGCCTTTATTACCCCATATGGCATAAGACCAGCACCTGACCTACTACCTCCATCCCACCCCCACCAGTGACAAATGGCGCCCATCATTTGCCGGGAGACTACCAACAGTAGCAACACCTACTTCTAATCCTGTTTCTTATCCGAAACCCCACACCAGCCGGCAGCACTACGGACGGACGGGCGCGCCCAGTCAGCACCCAGCAGCCAGCACGAGCCGAACCAGAGGAGGAAAGGCGAGGCCAAATCATTGGCGCCTCCACTGGTCACCGGCTGAGCGAGACCAACAGCAAACACCCAGCAAAAAAAAAGGACCAACAGCAAACACCCCGCAAAAAGAAAAAGAC